GGCCCCGGGGCCGAGGCTCGACAACCCCGGTTGTATGTGACAGAGATGCAATCCTTCTTCTGTAGTGTCAGATTGTTGTATTCTCATATGTAAGTCCAAATAACGGTGTTTTCGTTAAAAATGAACTGTTTTGTAAAAAGTGAACATAATGAAATTAACGAAGTAACTGAACAAAAGGTAAATTGTAGAACAAAAAAAATAGGATTTTAATATTCCGGCACAATGTAAACCTGGAGCAGAGAAGTGTCGAAATGATTATAATATAAACGAAAAAAATGACATCATATGCGAAGGAAAGAAGATATGCGAAATTTGTAAAACCCTTAACACATTCAAACAAAGAGCAGTTTTCGAAAGTCTAAGTCTTAGACCTTAAGTTGCTTCAAACTATAAGAACACCCTTCATATGAAGACCGTGGAAGAAAAATTTAATGCAAAAGTTCATTGGCAATTATATTAAAAGCAAAGCAGTGCCACTTACATCAGCTCAATGGTGCGTCTATGAACTCTTAAAATTACACATTGTCAAAATCTTCGTCAAAGTTGACTATAATTGAAATCGACTTCTAAGCACTGCTAGATAACACTTCAAAACGATATTCTAAAGCTACTTGAATCAGATCTAAATACGTAATGGACATATTAACACGATCTGCGTGATAAATTTCACGCTCTCCTCATGTGAATTGTCCAATCTTTTACAGTGTTCGTCTCATTGTGTCCATCGAATGTGGGGTCCTTGTACTCTACGTAAGTTTCTATGACTTCATACTCTCGCAGCAGAAGACTTCGTACATATGTAATCGCTGTGCCCACGAGCCCATCCACGAGTGCTTTGAGCGACTGTTGGTCCATGATCCTCCTTCCAAATGCTTCCCGTCTTCGTCCGTTGATGTCATGTGCATTAGATATGTTTGCACTTGTAGAATGATCGTTATGAATAAGAAAAGAAAGTTTGCAGCGCCCTTGGATACTTGACGTTGCACAGTACAAGGTCATCACCTTGAAGTCGTTGTGGTAGAACTTCACTGCTGAATAGTACAATTCTAAAGACGGTGCAAGCACTTCTCACGGATATTCTCTTGTTCCACAACACCTACGACCACAAATATACAAACATTGTCGAGGATAATGCTCCCAGCAATCCGGTGCGACATCCACACCTCTGACACTGAGTACTGCACCATCGAAAAACCACTTCAGGTGTAAAAAATATATACCCCATATCATGCCATACATTTCTGCCCCACACCATATTGCTTGGCGGCCATCCAGTCATTGAATGAACCATTCTGCAACACATGAAATACAGAAGCTCAATGACAACTAATTGATACAACAATACACTCGAATGAAATATGATTACCTCTTCTCAACGACGTACTTAAAGTCTACTAATCTTCATCATAGGGGAGTAAAAGGCAAACCAATGATATATAGTTTAACTATATATGAATGGAAGCTCAATGACAAGTAAATAGTACACCAACACGAACGAAATGAGGCATTCTCAGCGACTTATCCTATTGGTCTTCATCATCTGGAAGTGAAAGACATGCCAAGGCTTTCTCTCTGACCGATTTGGGAATGTGCACTCCATTTCCCAAATGCAATGTCCTCGATGACCAGCTCCACAAAACACAGTTCAGCATCGTCCTTCGTAATTCTGTCCCGCGAGGGCCAAAAACCAGCCTTGAGTGATGCTTTCGCAAAGCCAGACCCATAATTTTGCTCGATTGTGTCCATAAAAGTTTTCCAGTGTGAAAGAGCACCCTCCTTTGAGAAGCTAACCTCATCTTTCATTCCCAACCACTCGTGCCGCTTGTTTTCCAACCACTCAACAAACGTCTTCATGCCTTCAATTCCTTATTTGAAATCAAAATTTTTATCCTTAGCGGGTTGACCACGTGATGTTTCTGTAATAGGTCGAATAGGTGACGGGAGAACAGGTGAAGGTTCGAATGGTCATTCGGGTCCAGCATATGCTTTATTTTCATCTCGTTTAAAGCAATAGACCGGAGAAGACCAGTTCGGAGAAGTGCAATACTCTTTCCACTGGAACACAGGATTGTCATCCTCCATATAAAACCTAAATAAATGTGGCTTTGTATGACCGGTCAGTCTGTTGACCAGAAAGGGCTTAACAACTCTCGCCCGTCAGCAATTTCATCCATGAATGTGCACAAAGGACACTCTTTTTGGGAACTGGCAACGAGTTTGAACAGGTCGAGCATGGTATAAGCATCGTGCATTTTCAGTTTGCGAGAGAAATGACTGAAAGTGGCATCAACGTCCGTATGTGTATGCCCTACCAACATAAAACCGAATTCGACTTCTTTGAAGAAGCCAAATTTCACAAAGCTGCGGCCAGAGACAAAACATATTTATTTTTGTTTTCTCTCCAGCAGTTGTCGGCTTGTATCCTCAATTTAGGAGGTAAGTCGCTTGTCACATGTATGTCACGCAAGACTTTCATAATGGATGACACCACAGCATTGGAATCATGTGGATAGCAAGGGTATCATGTGTGGACATGCACCGATGGTGAACGACCGTGTGCGATAATAGCTGTTAAATTTATTTTCATCATTGGAATATTCGCGAATGCCTTTGACTTGTTTTCTCCGCCAAAGTGTGGAATACTCGTCCTGCTTTGGTCCATAACGTCAATAATGATGCATGAACTGTTGGAACCTTGTCTCTTCGACTCATCCTTCCACACCTCATAAGTAGCACGGTGTTGGAGCTGCAAGTCCAAGTGTTTGTCGCGTTCCGAAACGAAATAATCACGCACACGTACGAACTTCGCAGAATTGATAGATTCTTTGAACTCAACACACTTCTCGCATTTCGCAAAGTTTTGATCAACTTCATGAAATTTCACATGCCAGAAGTATGTTCTCCACATATTATAGAAAACTTGGAGAGAAACAGAAGGGACACCCAAGTTGTCAAATTGTGACTTCAACAACTTATAAATGTCAACCTTGTTATAGCAAGCAGGCAATTTCAAAACCACTCGTGATTCTCCATCTTTGATCCTCATGTCATTGGGCATGGAATCTTCATTGTCACGCACAAAGGAGCTTAGTTTGCCGAACATCGTCGCATATGTTGCAGATGTGTCTCTGAGTCCAGTGCTGCCATGCTCCGGCATAATGTAACATTTTGACAAAGTCACCCTCTTTTTCAAAAATGTATTCCTGCACACACCCAGTGTGAAACACCATGCACTAATGCACACCTTTCTTTTCCCCACAATAGGTTGCACAATCTCTTTCTCATCTTCCACAAAGGTGAACCTCTTTAACATTTCAACCCACCATGCATCTCTACTTTTGTGATCCTTACAGTAATATGCACTCCGGACAGCTTTGATGTCTTCCATGGTCATGCGAGCGCAACAATCTTGTTTACAACAAACTTGTCCACGCACACTCGCCAATGCTTTTTTGGTGAGTTTTCTATGAACTGTTTGCATAATCTTCTTTGACCGAGGCATTCTGACACGGAAAGTATAAGGACGCTTCTCCGACGACAATCGTTTTGGAAAAATGTCATCAAAATCAGAGATGACATCAGAACTCTCCACACCGTTGCGACAGTAGTGGTCAGTGCCATCATCATCGCAAGGTTGTGGATGATCAATTTTGTCTGGAGAACTATTGGCGTCAGACGACATCGAAGCACCAGATTCCGAACCATCTTCATCACTCTCGCCAAACAGAAGACCTGTGCACTCGAAATCTCGAAGCGAACTTCTCGGCACCCACATGATACGATCTACATCGGATGTGTTCCTGTCACCGGAGGCGGCCCTACCCTG